CACCTATGTCTCCTGCTCTTGAAAGTAGTGGCCATATGAAGAAGAGGCCCTATAGTGCGTCCACTGACTCCCCCTAGTCACTGGAACCTGGTGTTTCAGGGGTGTCTCCTCTGTGTGCTGTGTCTGTGCCCTACTGTTATGACTAAGCTGAATTAGTCTTCAGTCCAATTGTCCACAATAGTTCTCTTTGCCTGTTGTAGGCAGTTTGGTCCCTGTGGTGTTGGTGGGCCACCTGGGCTGCCTTAGGCTTGAGTTGGGCCAGAGCAGGGTTTGTCAGAGCTGTGGTCACACCAATCTGCAGGGCACTCTCCTGTGTTGTGCCCTGAGAAGCTTTTGTTGGTTGGCGGGGACTGCAATCAGACCAAATGTCTGGGACCCAAAGTTTTATGTGTGGTTTTCTTCCTCTCCCTGGGTAGGAGTCACTTTGGACTGGTGCCAGCCCCTCTAGGTGTTGCTTGCACAATGCCATGCTTTAGATGGACTCTTGCTGATGGTGGGTTGGAAGAGTCCAGCTTACAAGACAGTGTGGGGCCAGCTGTGTGTCCTGGTCTGCTGTGGGAGGGATCTGTAGTTGTTTTGGAGAACTGGTGAGGCCCAGCTGGTGGGGGCAGGCTGGGGAAGAGCACAGAGGCTGGGTGTGCTGAGGTGAGTGAGGGAAATAGCACCTGTCAGCAATTCTGTTCTTAAAGTGTCCTAAAGATCCCTGCCCCTCTAGCACATACTCTAAGATTAGTAAACAAGTCTTTTTTCCCATATACCATAGGTTTTTTTCAAACTTCTGTTTCTATGCTGTATATCAGTGGGGCTGTTTATTACGCTGTCTCTTTAAGGACGGGGATTCAGTTTCCTATCGCCCTCCAGCTCTCCCAGAGGGGAGTCCACTATTTTTAAGCTTCTAATTGTTAAGCCCCACTGACTGTAAGAACTCACAAAGTTAAAACCCTCTGGTTTCAAAGCCAAACGTGGGGATTCGTCTTCCTGTGTGGGTCCTCGATGCCTGGGGTGGCTGATGTGAGGTCTGCTCTTCTCCTTTTCTCATGCCTGTGGTGTTCCTCCCTCCATGGACAGTCTTGCCGGTCAGTTTGATTTCTGACTATACATTAGCCCTTCCTACCTTTTTCGATGTGGCCTACTTCTCTACATTTAGGTATAGAGTCTGTTCTGCCAGTCTTTGGGTTGTTTTCTGGCTTATTTACACTGATGTGGGTGTTATCTAGGTATATCCGTGGGATGAGGTAAGCTTAGGATCCTCCTACTCCACCATCTTACTCAGAAGTCAGACTCTAAAATTTTTAAAATATATTTTCAGAAATTATATTAAATAACTAATTTAAAAAACTAGTAATAAAATTCCTGGCAAAGTTCTTTATCTGAAATTTTACTCATCATTATACTTTGGATTTTACAGTAAAATCAAAAGTACTGTTCTGAGTCCTTCAGTAATGTATTTGTTTATGAGAAATATTTAATTGAAAAACAATACTTATTAGGGAAATGTTTTATTTATTTTATTACAATTCACAGTACAGATCATAATGTTCTATCCTAATGAAGATGGTAGAGTAACAAATGCATAAGAATACTTGTTCTGATATTCAATTTACTTAAAATCAGTTATTATTCACCTACGTGTTCAGGACAACATGCTGAGCTCTAGAGATGCAAAGATTAAAAAGCTGCTTCTTCACACTCAGAAGTCCATAGTTAAAAGAGGAAGACAAAAACATGAGAAAACACATATGCTATGTACAGAGAAGTGATGCATATTTCTTATCCATTTTTAGCCCACTGTCTTTCGTCCAGGCTTGAGATGTTCACTTACATTTACTTTTTTCCATTTTCCCTTTAATTAGTATTTATATGTTACATATATATGTCAGCCTCTGGAAGTCAGTCAGTATGTGACATAAGTAAAAGCTTATACACAAATACTCAGGGATTATGTATCAAGTGAAGAAACTCCCTTTACTTTTATTTTTTTATCCAGTAAGAAATTTTGACTTTTTCCACTTGAATATTTGGTACATAAATTACACACATGATTATTTGACGACTAAGCACTATTTCAAATGCTTTATGTAATATAACTCATTTAAGGACAACCTTACGAACAGGTACTATTATCACGCAGTTTTACAGCTGAAGACACCAGCACACAGAGGGATTAAGTAATTTGCACATACTCATGCAGTTGGTAACAAGCAGAGAATCCTTGATTTGAACCTGTCTGCCCTTCCCTAATATCTGTCATCCTAACTACCACACATACTGCCTTTGTGCCATGCTGGTCTTAACCACTGACCATGCTGATCCTTGTTCCATGTTGTGATTAGAAACTGAAACATAAAACATATCTATACTGAAATTCATATAGCTTTTTATGTTCTTCGGAGTACAACTTTCTGTATAAATTCATCAAAGCTGGATTTTTCTTATTTTATGAATTTGCTGAATTGAACTTGTGTTTAATCTGTACATGGTATACTTCAAAGGCCAGCCCCCACCCCACCCCCCAAACTTCCTACCTAGAGGGAGGCAATGCATCACAGCACAGTCCCTAAGCAAGGGAGTAGCACAGGCAACCAATCCAGTAGAGCTGGCTGCTACCTAGAAGGGAGGGCATTCTCTATCTAGAATCCCTTAATGAGCACAAACCAGGCAGAGAGATGATTGAATGGAAAAACTGCTTAAATACCATAAAAAAATTTATATTTTTCTCTTATGAAAAATACACTTCGAATGTACCAAAGAATTAACTATAAAAAAGAATACCACAAATTTAGTGGCACAATTTCTGTCCATCTATGGACCTCTAAAACTAAAGAAGCAGGTTATTTGCTCCCAAAACACAATGGTGGGACAAGCATGGAGTAACATTTATATGGCATATCTGTTCAAAAAGGGAGAACATGGAAGAAAAAAGGTTCACCAATCCCAAGAAATTCTTAAATCCAGTCAGGCAAATTCCATTGGGTCTAAAGGTCTGGAAACAATACTCTGTGGCTTAGGTTGTCTTGAACAGGCAGGCTGTTAGTAAAAATATGGGTATTAACAACTCTGCTTGTGAGGATTTAAGAAAATGAGCATGGTAAAGAAAATATATCACCGGGGCGCCTGGGTGGCTCAGTCATTAAGCGGCTGCCTTCGGCTCAGGTCATGATCCCAGGGTCCTGGGATCGAGCCCTGCATCGGGCTCCCTGCTGGGCAGGAAGCCTGCTTCTCCCTCTCCCATTCCCCCTGCTTGTATTCCCTCTCTCGCTGTGTCTCTCTCTGTCAAATAAGTAAATAAAATCTTAAAAAAAATGTTTAAAAAAATGTCACCTTAGATAATACCTTCATGGTCATAAGCAGACTGTTGGTGGAAACACACATGTGAAAGGGGGTTAAAGTGGATAAAAGGTAGGTTAATGACAGGTAAGGGGGTGGGGTTTAGTTATGAGTTTGAGGGGCTGGTAGAATGTGAGGATGCCCATCAGAAAATAGTCTAACAAAATAGTCCTCAACATCTACTGTACATAGTATTTTAGTAAATGAGGGCAAAGGAATAGAAGATCAATACATAAACTTCAGAAGTTGCCCTTCCTGGTTGCAGGAAATAACACTTGTATATTCAGATACCACATAGCTCAATTCAGTTGAAAACTCAACAGTTATTTTCTCAAAGGCCTATAATGTTAAAAGACTTTTAGCTTGAACCACATAAATAACTGGAAAAACACAACAGGTCTAAACCAAGAGATTTATTTTTATTTGCCAAACTATCTATTATATTTTCAAACTTTCTAGGGACTAATCTTACCCTAGAGTAAAAGCTAGCATTTACAGCTGTTATCATTACATAATTGAAACATAGTAGAATCCAAGGGTTTGCGAGTCTCTTTTTTAACAGTGGTACTAACTTATAAATTCAGTAAGAGTGCCAGGCTTAAATGCTGTGCCCAGCAGGAAATCTGGAATAATTGGCCCTGTTCTGTACAGACTTTATGGGAGTCTTTTAATGATTGTTGAACGTCTTTGACTAAGCACTAGAAAGGAGAGTTGTCATTCTTCTGCCAACTGCTGCATTGTTCAAGGATTTGCTTCTTTATGTCAGAGATTCTTTCAGAGAGGGGGTCAAATTGGGATCCTGAGTCACCTCTGTAAGAAACATGGGTTCAGCTAGGGCATGAATTTTATTTATCAAAATATATTTTTTTAAAGATTTATTCATTTGAGAGAGAGAGAGAGAGAGCACGAGCAGGGGGAGGGGCAGAGGGAGAAGCAGACTTCCTGCTGAGCTAGGAGCCCAACACAGGCTGGATCCCAGGACTCCGAGATCATGACCTGAGCTGAAATCAAAAACTAATGATGTACTATATATTGGCTATTTAAAAATAATAAAAAATATTTGACAAGAGTCAGATGCTTAACCAACTGAGCCACACAGGTACCCCTATTTATGAAAATATTAAAAAGTCAACAATGTTATGATTTCACCAACTTTAAAAGAAAAAACAATCAACCTTTAAACACAAAGAAATAGTGTCTATTTGCTATTGTAGTTCTTATTTCTAAGAAGGCTAAGTGTATTTTAAAAGCACAAATAATTCTGCAGTCTAAAATTCCAACCCCAAAAGTAAAGATGGATTGACAAAATGTACTCTTATGCAAAGAATTGCCCATTTGTCACCATTTGGGGAAAATGGGTATGTGTGTATGTTGTCTTTATTGGTATACCCAAAATACACAGGTTTGACTCATATACAAATGGCTAAAATGGAAAAGGTCAAGCTTTGAAAATTATTCCTAGAAAATGGATTTATCCAGGCAAATTTGTATGTGAGTATCTATATATTTTATGTACCATAAGATTGAATATGAACATAAGACAGCTTTTTTTTCATTTCTGTTCATAGAGGTCTTTCAGTACATGTTTTCTTTAGAACATTCTCAGAAACAATTGAAGTACAAAGCTAAAGCAAGAGTATTTCCATATATAACACACAGTATAGTTAAAATCATCATACCAGCTCTTTTAAAATCTCATTGCTGTGGATAGCTTCCCCTAATTCTTCCATCATCAATTCTTGTTTGGGTTTTTCAGCACTTTTCCTACAAGGCAAATTTTCCTCATGTGAATTTTGAACGGTAGGTCCCTGGGCTAACTGATGAGACTTATTTATAATCACATTGTCTTTAGCTCTTAGGGTGTAGGTTTCCTTGGGTCTTGCTCTTTTTTGGCAGAGCTGGAGGTGAAAAGCATCTTGGAAAGCATGGTGAAAATTCTCATTGAAGAAACCATAAATGATGGGATTGACGCTGCTGTTGCAAAAGGCCAGCCAGTGTGCAAAAGGGTAGATGTAGATATTGATGACCCGTAGTTCATTTGGAGACAGGTCAGCGTAGTCTGAGAGCATCATCAGTGTCCACAGAGGCAGCCAGGAGAGAATAAAAAGCAGGGCCACGATCAGGAGCATTTTAATGACCTTCTGCTTCTTCTTGGACACCATGTGCCACTGTTCCTGGTTCTGTTTGCCTGTGTGGGGCACTGTCATCTTGAAGAGTGAAATTCCAATCCTTCCATACATGATGACAATGAGGGACAGGGGAACCAGGTAGATGTTGGCAAATAGCACGGTGGTATAGATCTTCCTCATTTCCTGATTTGGCCAGTCTTCCCGGCACCAGTAGACTGGACTGGTTTTATTCTGGGAGTTGAGTTTCACTTGGTAATATTTTTCTTCTTGTACATGTAACATTATTGCAGATGGGGACATAATGACAATGGCCAGGACCCAGATGATCACAATAATGACAAATGCTGTCTTGATAGTGAGCTTTGGTTTGAAAGGGTAGACAATGCACCGAAACCTGCAGTTAAAGGTAAGTATCAGTGGAGCACTGCCTTATACCTTCTGACCAAGTTGTGAATTAAACTTAATTCTCCCACTCATGTTCCCCTCAAAAACATAAAGTTACCATTAGCAATAGAGAAGCATGCATTGATATTTTTTGTGACTGATACAAATTTCAAGTCAAAATATGAATAAGTTGAGTATCAGACACTATATTAGTCACTATTAATAATAGGTGACCATGGTAACTAGCAGATATTGAACATGAATATTTAGTATTCTGTTCCAGACTCTTTTTAAACTTCCCCACTTAAAAGATGGCAAAATAGGCTTAGAAAAAGTAAAAAAATCTTGCCCACAACTACACATAATTTTAACACAGGTAGTTTGGCTCCAGAGTCCATATTGTTAAACTCTCCTTCATGACCTATTGTGCTCCCTTCCCATGTCATCTTTGTGCTTGGCCGATTGAACATTAGCAAGCATGACATAAATAGAAGCCCAAGTGATGACACAGAGGCACCCAACCAAACCATAAAATCATGACAAATGTTTAAGCATTTTTGTTTTAGGCCAGTAAGTGTTTTGGTGGCTTGATTCACAGCTATAACAGTCTGAGAGTTTCCATTATGAGTTCTGATTACATGCCTTCCAGAAGTTCTATGTCCTCTGATGAGCATGGAAATTCAACGTCAGTACATAGCATAACCCTGATTTCATTTAACTGCAATTTTGCTATTGCGAGTCTTGGCATTATTATTCATACTCGCTATGATAATTATAATCATACCATATACATCTATAGAATACTATATTTTCCAAAGTACTATCACCTATTTAATCTTTGGTTTTTGTAATGACTCTGTAAAGTGGAAATATGAAAATTATTACTTTCCAGATCTGCAGGTAAGAAAACAAAGCTTTTAGTGGCTCAGCAGCAACTCCATATTAATTTATCTGACAACTCTTCATATACTAATTAACTTGAACATTGATTGCTTTGTTGTCCTTTATTTCATGTGTAAAGTCTGCTGTCTTAACCTCCAAATTTTCTTTTAGTCTTCTAATTAATGAGTCTCCCCATCTACTCATCCTTAAATTATGGGTAACTTCATAGGCACAATTCTAGGTATCTTGTTCTTTTTGTAAACCAACTATTGGGGCTTCACATATTTTTTCATTTATTCAACAAATATATAGATATATTCAAAGAGACAAAGATGAACATGAAGAAAATGCTCTCTGCCAGGAAATAGTCAATGAAAATATTGTGTAATTATGCTAAAATCATGCTAGAGTTTAGACTTGGCCACTGCATTAGTCAGGGTTCTCTAGGGAAACAGAGCCAACAGTATGTGTAAGTATATAGAAAGATATTTATTTTAAGGGATTGGCTCATGCGGTTATGGAAGTTGAGAAGTCCCAAGATCTGCAGTTGGCAAAATGGAGACACAGGAGAGCCAATGGTATAGTTCCAGTTCATATCCGAAGGCTTGAGAACAGGACAGCCATGGATATAAGTTACACTCTAAAAGCCATTAGGCTCACACCCCAGAAGAGCTAAGGTAGTTCGGGTCGGAAGACAGAAAAAGACTGATGCCTCAGCTCAAAAAGTCAGGCAGAAGGAATGCTCTCTTACTTGCAGGAAGGTCAGCCTTTTTGTTTGTATTTGGGCCTTCAGCTGATTGAATAAGGGCCACCCAGATTAGGGAGGGCAATCTTTTACTCAGCCTATTGATTCAAATGTTAGTCTCACCAGGCACACCCAGAATAATGTTTGATCAAATATCTGGGCTCCCCATGACACAGTCAAGTTCACATGTAAAATTAATCATGACAACCAGTTAGGGGAAAAAAAAAAAATCTCAGTATTCTATCTCAAGCAATGGGGGATGGTGCCTTGTTCAGGACCATTGAGCAACCAGAATTGATGGGATTTGAAGAGTGACTAGAAAGAAGTTGGAGAGAAAAGGAAGGCTCAAGGATAAATCTCAAGATTTTCACTTAGATTGGATATGTGATCCTGCCATTCCCTGACTGGGGAAAATGGGAAAAAGAGCTTTTCGTTTAGTTTTTTTGTGGAGGACTGGTAGTGAAGAAAGTTCAATTCTGGGTCTGTTTATTTTGAGGTGGTTGTTGTTGGACGTTCAGGTGAAGTTATTCAGAGGCATAGATATGAAATTTAGGAGAAAGACTTCATCTAGAGAAATAGGTTTGGGAGATTTTTTTGTAGAAGAGACCCGGAGAAAGGCATTTTGGTGCCAGTAGTTCAGAGAGAGATGAAGGTGCGGTGGTTTTAAAACAGGTCTAAATTCTTGAACATGCTTTCCAAAGTCCATTGAATGCACTTTGTGACTCACTTCTAATGAATAGGATGCAGAAGGGACACTGCATGACTTTCACTGGCACACTCTCTTAGGACACACATGCCTTGGACTGATATGAGAAGTTCAGCTACCTTGAAGCTGCCATGCAGTGGAGCCCATGTAGTGCTTGGGAAGCCCCAGTTCTATCTCCTAGCTGTTCAAGGCTTCCCAGTCTGGGCACCAACATAAGGGGAAGGCTGCATTCCTGGCCTTAGAACTCCCTCTCTGATGCCAAGTGGAGCAGAGACAGGGTATATGTTTCCAATCAGTGAAGCTTCCCTCATTATAGATTCATGAGCATCATGAGCCACTAAGTGGTTTGTCTTGGGAGGTGACTTGTTATATTGCAATAGATAACTGAAATATAGAGAAATGATACATGAATGTGAAGGCAGAGAGCAAAGGGTATGTCACGGCAGGGGACCGTAGTTTCATCACTTTTTAAAAGACCTAAAATGTGACAGATACAGATGAAATTTTTTTGGTAGCGCTATGCAATCCTAATCCTATTCCATTTTCCTCAGAAATCCTAAAGTTGCTATATATCCTTCCTGTCGGTATTTTTATGCTTTGACAGTATTAGTCCGCATTTATAACATTTTAAATTCTATATTATGGCACCATATTATATATATCAATTTATAGCTTTGAGATTGTATGCTTTTGAAATTTATGCATTTTGATATACATTGACCTAGTTAATTGATTTTAGCCAGCATACAGTTATCCATTGAATAAATATAGCACAATATACTTATTGTTTTAACCTTTTTAAAATGAAATCTCTGTTTAGGAGTCATCCTAGAAACAGTGAAAGAGAAATTTAGGGATATTTAATGCTAAATGCAATGTGCAAGTAAACCTGATAAGCTCAAGATTCAAGTAGAAAATGCAAAGGATATTAGTTTTTTTATTCATGGTAGAGATAACAAATAATTGTAATAGTATTACAAACATTCATAACAAAATAATTTAGTAGTAGCATTATTTACTAGTATAAATTAGTATGCAAAAAATTAGTAGTAACAGGATGTAGTAAATTTGGAAATAATTAGTTCCCAAATTTTAATGTAAAAAGCTATCTTTGGCATTTGTTGGTTAGCATATATTGTAATTCTGTTCTCTTTATATGGAAACCAAAAAGCTAGATCTATAAGATAGGTTCTTAGATTAATATTGAAAATAGAATCTACCAAGTTGTTTTTTGATGTCAACAATTCTATATAGCATTTTACATATTTTGGGGTCATGGTTCAGTTTCCCTCTCAAATCTCTCTTAATTGCCATTGCCTTACATCCTCTCCCATCTAGGTTGTTACAGAAGTTTAACTGTTCTTCCTTTCTCCAATCTTACACAACTCCAAACCCTTTCTGTTTTTCTAAATTGAAAATCTAGTCATTATTTCCCCCGTATAAAAGACTTCAGTAGCTCCCTGCTGTCTTCAGGACGAATGGAAGACAGGCCCATAGAAAACCTACGTGTGGTCACACCTAATGTGCCATTCCACCCTCCCATGTTCTAGCTGGCCTGCCTCTCTGCACTTCTCTTGATAAATATCCTCCTATTTCAAGTGCCCTATATATATATCCCTGTCTTAAGAGATGCTCTTTCCTCTGTTTCTTCTCAAGATTAATTTCTAAATCTTGAGGGATCAGGAGGTGAACCCAACACTCTCTGTCCTGAGAGGTAACTTGATCACTTTCTCCTTTGTACAGTTGTTATGTTAGAGAGTATTATTTGTAAGTATTTGTTAATGTGTCTGTCTACCTCTGCCAGAGTGTGGGCTTCTTTAGGTAGCACTTTGTCTAATTTGTTTTATTTTTTAAGATTGTATTTATTCATTTGAGAAACAGCACAAGCAGGGGAAGAGGCAGACTCCCTGCTGAACAGAGAGCCCGACGTGGGGCTCAATCCTAGGACCTGGAGATTGTGACCTGAGCTGAAGGCAGACACCTAACATCTGAGTCACCCAGGTGCCCCCTGTCTGATATGTTTTAGATGATATACGCCCAGTACAGGCACACCTCAACACTATGTGTAAATGAATGTATTAGTACATTTTCTCTTAAAATCTGAATAAAATTTCAGGTTTATTTCACCACATTTCCACCATTAGAAAATTGAAGGTTCTAGTGAAAAACAGTATAACTATGATGGTATGGACTTTATGTTTGTGTCCCCCCAAAATTTATTCCTCGAATAAGGGTTAGGGTTTCAAATGGTAGATGGAGGCAATTCGGTTCAGATGAGATCAAGAGGGTGGTGTCCCCAGGATGGGATTAGTGTAAAAAGAGGAGACTAGAGCTCCTGGTTCCACAGCGAAGATGGCCTTTTGCAAAACCAGGAAAAGGTCTCTCACCAGACACAGAAGCTCCTGGCATCCTGACCTTGGACAGCCCAGCCTCCAGAACTGTGAGAAACAAATTTCTGTTGTTTCAGACACACTCTCTGGCATCTTGTGACAGCAGTACAAACTAAGACACATGTCATCCCTAATTATTTAATTTAAAAAATGGAAATTTTAATAGTTTTAGTTTATTACTAAACCTTTAGCAGATATATGCCATGCTCTTAAAAGAGTAGATATTATAAATATAATTTTGGGCAGATATAACCAAATTTAATAGATTATACAGTTTTCACTAGGTTCAGATTTTGGTACTGACTTACCTATCCACAGCTATCGCAACCAAAGTAAAGACTGAAGCTGCGACTGATATCCCTTGGATGAATCCACTGATCTTGCACATTGTGCTTCCAAAGGGCCATCCTGAAAGGGATATGAAACAGTCTTTGAATAGATCATATATATATTTTTTTTAAATTTCACCAAAAATATGAACAGAAAAGCATGAAATCAAAACTGATGCAACTATTTCCTAAATGATGTCCAGGGAACAGTCATTGTTTTCCATTATTTTCATTAATATCTCCAGAGCTCTATTTTTAGTATACTACTAATAATGTCAGAACTTAATTATAACTTTTTAATATACTACTACTAATGTCAGTTATAACTTCTAGGCACTGTAGTAAGTGCTTTGTATCTATTAATTTATCTAACTCCTCAAGGCTTTTGAAGGCTTTATTCTCCTCCTCATGATATAGAATAAGTAATAAATACACAAATATCACATACCTTGCCACAGCTAGTTAGCATATTTAGGATTTCAGCCCCAGCTGTATGGTTCCAGAGCCTAAACCATTAACCCTTATGCAATAAAGCCCTTTAAATGAATAAGACAGGAAGAATATTGGTTTTATAATTTGGAAATATACCCCATAAATTATGAGGAACAGGAGGTACATGTAGAATAAATAAGATTAGTATTTATTCATATATAATGTAATGAGACAATTTACCTCAGAGGTACATTGTTATAGAGTGAATGTTTGTGCCCCTTCCCCGTTCAGATGCATATGTTGAAGCCTTAAGCCCTAGTGTATTTGGAGGAGGGGCCTCTGGAAAATAAATATTTTTAGATAGTGCCACAAGGGTGGTACCTACATGATGGGATTAGTGCCATTAGAAGAGAGAGAGCTTTCCTTTCCATGAACATGCATTGAGGAAAGTCCATGCGAGCACACAGCAAGAAGGTGACTGTCTACAAACCAAAAAAAGGACCCTCACCAACAACCTGACCATGTATCACCCTGATGTCAGACTTCTTGCCTCTGAAATAGTGAGAAAATAAATATCTGTTGTTTAAGCCACCTAGTCTATGGTATTTTGTTATAGCAGCCTGAGCTGACTAAAACATACTTTGAGAATCAAGAGCACTTTACAAAAGTAGTCTATTTGAATTACTTTCTAATCAAACCTCATTTAATGAAATGCTTATAAAGGAAATAACCACCCATCTGCTATTATAGGAAAATAAGCATGACAGAGAGAGAGAGTGGCAGACAGAGGGAGAGGGAGAAGCAGGCTCCCCACTGAGCAGGAAGCCCCCGACGTGGGACTCGATCCCAGGACCCTGGGATAGTGACCTGAGCTGAAGGCAGATGCTTAACCAACTGAGTCAGGTGCCCCTATTTTTACCTAATTTAAAATATTCCCCCCAAATCTAAATAATCCAAGCATATCTAAAAGAAAATATTTTGTCATCTATCCAGACCATCTTAAAATAGATGCTTGAGTTACTCTACTGAATAGAAACCAAGAGAGAGCATGTTTTCCCAGTCCTAAAATTATTTGGCTGTTACAATATTAAACAAAAAAAGCAAAAAGGAGTGTGAATAGCCTTTGGTCAAAAAAAAAAGCATATGATTTATCTCACCTCCCTCACTAAATTCCACTAAAATGAAAGCACTAGGGAAAAGAAAACTCAAATAGAAAGAATGTGAAGCTGGGAAAATAAGACAATGGGGCTGAATTATGAATAAATTTAATCAGATGCCACTTGCTTTTCCCCTGGCCAGCAGAAGGATGGAAGTTACTCTCTGAGGAGGTGGAAGCAAAGGGGCTCTAGACTCTGACTCACTAGGAGTGGGTACCACAATGATGCACAAGGATTAAGTAAAAATATATACTCTGCACTCAGTTCTGTTGCCCAGGGACCCACTGAGCTCTGGAATGCAGCAGCCAGTCTTATGATTCCTCTAGCAATAGATCAGAGAATTTCCTTCTGGGGAATGTGATCCTTCCAAGAACACTGATGTGCAGATTTTGACAGTCGTGGATTTCCCAGCGAGTGGCCCAAACTAAAGAAGCTGAGAGTGGGCCAAACCTCAAACCTAAGGCAGGCAGAGGTCCAAGACAGCCACACTGTGTCCCAAGACAGCCGCACTGTGTCTCACTTTGAAACACAAGCAGCTAAGTAGCAACTGACATAAGGGAAACCTCAAATATAGAAGTGACTATAACAAATAGGAAAAAAGAAACTTAACAGAAAACCAATATAAATCAAGTAGATGAAAATAACCAGATGTATAGAGAAGGATGTCCACCCTCACCACTTTTTTTCAACATAGTACCATAAGTCCTAGCCACAGCAATCAGACAAGAAAAAGAAGTAAAAGGCATCCAAATCAGTAAGGAAGAAGTAAAACTTTCATTATTTGCAGATGACCTGATGCTCTATACTGAAAATCTGAAAGATTCCGCCAAAAAACTGCTAGAACTGATACACGAATTCAGTAAAGGATACAAAATCAATGTACAGAAATCTGTTGCATTTCTATATACTAGTAATGAAGCAGCAGAAAGAGAAATTAAGAAAACAATCCAATTTAAAATTGCACCACAAATAAGATACCTAGGAAGAAACCTAACCAAAGAGGTGAAAGACCTGTACTCTGGAAACCATAAAACACTGATGAAAGAATCTGAAGAGGACACAAAGAAATGGAAAGACATTTCATGCTCATGGATTGGAAAAACGAATATTGTGAAAATGTTTATACTCCCAATGCCTATAAAAATACAAAGAGCACTTTTCACAGAACTAGAACAAACAATCCTAAAATTTGTATGGAACCACAAAAGACCCCAAATAACCAAAGCAATCTTGAAAAAGAAAAAGCTGGAGGCATCACAATTCTGGACTTCAAGTTATATTACAAAGCTGTAGTAATGAAAACAGTATTGTACTGGCAGAAAATTAGACACACAGATCAATGAAACAAAATAGAAAACCCAAAAATAAACCCACAATTATATAGCCAGTTAATCTTCAACAAAGCAGGAAAGAATATCCAGTGGGAAAAAGATAGTCTCTTCAACAAATAGTGTTGGGAAAACTGGGCCACTTTCTTATACCATACACAAAAATAAACTTGAAATGTATTAAAGACTTGAAACCATAACAATCCTAGAAGAGAACACAGGCAGTAATTTCTCTGACATCATAGCAACTTTTTTCTAGATATGTCTCCTGAGGCAAAGGAAACACAAAAATAAACTATTGGGACTTTATCAAAATAGAAAGCTTTGGCACAGCGAAGGAAACAATCAACAAAACTAAAAGGCAACCTATGTGATGGGAGAAGATAAACAGCTTAACACCCCCAAACCAAATAACCCCATTAAAAAATGGGCAGAAAACATGAACAGACATTTCTCCAATGACAACATACAGGAGGCTGATAGGCGCATGAAAGATGCTCATCAGCACTTACCATCAGGAAAACAGCCCAAGCGTCCACTGATTGATGAATGGATAAACAAGATGTGGTATATAGATAGATAGATGATTGATAGATAGATAAAGAAGATGTGGTGTGTGTGTGTGTGTGTGTGTGTGTGTGTATATATATATCTGCGATGTGGTATGTCTATGTATGTAGACGCAATGTGGTGTGTATATATATATCTGCGATGTGGTATGTCTATGTATGTAGATGCAATGTGGTGTATATATATATATGCAATGTGGTATATGTGTGTATATATATATATATACACACACATATATATACACACACACACACACAGATGTGTGTATATATATATGTGTGTGTACATGCAAAGGCTGAATATTATTCAGCCACAAAAAAAAAAAGAAATCTTGCCATTTGCAACTACATGGGTGGACCTAGAGAGTATCATGCTAAGTGAAGTAAGCCTGTCAGAAAAAGACAAATACCATATGATTTCACTCCTATGTGGAATTTAAGAAACAAAACAAACAAGCATAGGAAAAAAAAACAAACCAAGAAACAGGGTCTTAACTATAGAGAACAAACTGATGGTCATCAGAGGGGAGGTGGGTAGGAGGATGAGTTAAGTAAGTGATGGGGATTAAGGAGTGCACTTGGCATGATGAGCACCAGGTAATGTGTGTAATTTTCGAATCACTATATTGTACACCTGAAAGTAATATAACAACTAACTGGAATTAAAATAAAAACAAAAAATAAACCTCAGATACAACAAATTTTATCCATGAAATGTGCATGACAGTATAAGAAACATGCAGAAAATAAAAATAGCTCAAAGAATTTAAAATATGACAAATGTAGAACTCAATATGTCTAGAAAATTGAGAAAATCTTTGAAAATGGAATAAGGACAGAAAATGAAAAAGATTTAAAAAAACGGCAAGCCAGAACCTCCACTATCTAATAGGAATTGAAAAAAGTAAAATGGAAGAGAATTATACAAGAAAATTCCCCAGGATTAAGAAGCATTCTATTTTTGAATGGAAGGACCTGGTTTGTCTCCAACACAATAAATGAAAAATAACAAGACTTTTCCAAGGCATAATTGCCTGAAATTCAGAACACTAAAGATAAAGAGAAGTTCCAGGAGTTTTCAGGAGAAAAAACAAAATGCAAATCAGGATAAAAGCAAGAGTGTAATGTCATTTAGATTTTTTAGCAGTAATATCAGGTTTCTCAGCGGTAACAATAGAGACATCTCTGTTAAAATGTCCAGTCTTGAATACTTTATACAGCTAACTATAAATCAAATATGAGGGCAGAATAATGATAATTACAGACAACCAGATCTCAAATTTTTTAAAAATCTTAATGCACACTTTCTCAGGAAAGTGATAGACAAATAAACCAAGAAAGAAGACATGCCTCCAGAAAACAGGGGATCAAGCACTAAGAGAGGTGAAGAGAATCGTTAGGTTCTCAGTGAAGGGACATCCCAGAGCAGTAGCTGCTGAGCTCCATGCCTGAAGAGCAAAATGTCTGAATAGGGACCATAGGGTAGAGAGCACAGTTGGGGGGGGGGGGAATCTCTAGAAAAAAGATGCAATTCACATGTTGCCTGATATGTTTGAAGGTATTTACAAGAAATTAACACTCCTGGAAGAGAATTTGAGAATATATTACTTAAACATACATACCCCAAACTAAGTAAATCAAAACACGATGCCCTTATTAAATCCAAGAAAACATTTTATAAGAAAGAAATTGATGCCCTAGCACTCAACATGCCTCAGCAGGGCTAAGCTACATGAAACAATAGGAATGTATTCTCTGCATACTGACAACAAAAAATTATAATTACATTGGGAAAGAGTGTGAATGTGTATTTGTATGTCTATATAAATGCATCTGATTGCATTTGTACATGATTCCCGCTAATCCTGCTTTCCCAACTTCACACTCAGCAGTATCTGACAGTTTCTATGGATTTATGTTCTTTTGCTGTGTATCATTTCAGTGGAGTCTGGTGAGGGACACTTCCTCTTGTGGTAGGAGAGGATTAAGACAACTAAAGTACATCTCCCGCGTGTGAAGATAATACATAATAATGGAAACAGGTTGCTTAGAAATAGGAAAGTAACTACAGAAAATAAAGGCAACATGCTGAATGTGGCTGCCTCCCGCAAACAGGAATCAGGGGTAAGGAAGGGTAATAATGTGTATGGAAAAGTTGAGATAATAATTTCATTATAAATACTTATAGGAGGGAGATACTGAGAGCATTTCTTACTGGCAAAATAAGTTTCTTGAGAGCAATAACAATAATTTAAATCAATTCTTTCATTCTTTTTGCCTAGCACAGTATCTTAAAAATGTACATTCTCGATAAATATTTTTTTAATGCTAGACCTCACAAAAATGCAGAATCTATGAGTACAGATGCTAAAAGAGGCACTCTTAAACTCTCCCCGGCTCCCACTCCAGAGAAAGGGAGGAAACAGAAGTCAAGTCTAAAGAGAAACCTCTTATTCTTCAGTAAACTGATAATGCTATGAAAGGCTAAGAACTACAATAGGGCTCATGGCTGCTCTAAATATTTTTGATATGCAACTATGGTATCATTTAAAATCTTTTAAATTTAAATTCAGTTTAATTAACATGTACTATATTATTATCTTCAGAGGTAGAATTTAGTGATTCAACAGTTGCATACAACACCCAGTGCTCCTTACTTCAAGTGCCCTCCTGAATGCCCATCACCCAGTTACCCCATCCCCCCACCCACATTCCATCGTTTTTTTTCTTATACAGATTTGGAATATGAATATCTTGAATACTGTTCATTAATTAATACAACAAATACTTGTTAAGCAGGTACTATGCGCCAAAATGGTTCTGGGAGCTGGAGATACAGTGCCCCTGCACTTCCAGGGTATATAAGGTAGTACTAGAGAAGTAGTAATATAGGCCAGAAGTACTCTAGGGTAGTACTCTAACCACCACTACAATGTGAAGTTACTTTTGTTGCATACGTACATTATCACTGATGAACAAACACTTTTTGAGAAATCATTGGGACTGCTGCTCCATCTTCCCTCAAAAACTATTGGAAATCTCCCTAGCTAACCACAAGAGGGCCTCAATATCTGCCTGTTAAATTGAAGACATTGGATCAGTTGAAACCACACTTAACCAATTCCTTGAACTTTACAGTGCATACTATTACCAATAATAATTCTAACACATTATAGGTGCCCTGAACTATATCAAGCCAATTCAAAGTCTTTAGTAAGAAATGGTAGATCTCATTTTCTGATGACCTTCAGTGAATACCCTAAAAATGAGTTTCTACTCTTCCTCTCTGTTACCTGCTTTATTTTTTATCCCTAATTCTTATTAACCTCTGACTACTTATGTTATATCTATTTGCTCATTTTCTTTCTCCTCCTTCAGAATGTAGACTCCATGAGGGCAGGTACCCGGAGCAATTCTTGGAACTCCATAAATATTTGCAAATGAATGGATGGCCCTGCCATCGGTGCAGGGATAGGGGACAGAAGTTTCCTCCTATCATCCTTGCACTGTACACAAGTCAACGTACCTGTTATGATATTGTCCAGCAGCGTGATAGGCATACAAAATATGCCAACCAGTAAATCACTTATTGCCAGGTTCAAGATAAAGAGATTAGTGACTGTATGCATATGTTTGTTCCTCATTACAGTAAAGCAAACCACTGTATTTCCCACCATGCACAGGAAGAAGATCAGAAAGTAGGAAATAATGAAGATTGCTGCCACTTGAGGCTGGTGAAGATAGTAGTCCACATAGGTGATATTGATATCTGAATATAGGTGATACTTTGTGTCATTGACACTCCAAATGTCATGCCAGTTTTCTGAAGAGTTTGAGTCCCATCTCTCACTCATGATGGACCTGAACAAAGGAGAGGTAGAAAAGAAAAAGCATAATTAGAAGCTGGTAGAACATAAGTTCTGTACCTGAGTTTAAAAAGAACACTTAAAATGCTAGGGGATTTTGATGGTCCTTCTATAATAATCCTTTAATTTTGCATGGAACAGAGTTATAAATAAAGCATTCAAATTATTAGGATTTTAACCAAGAAGATTGAAATTTCTACTTTGTTTCATAAGTAACAATTAGTATTATTTTTTTATGTCCTCAAAAAGCTCTGTATTTCACTTTATTACACCTCCTATCCATTTGCAAAGTTTCAAGGGAAACTCTAAGTGAGACCTTTTAAAACTCCCTTTCTCCTGTCTCCAGGTATCATAACCTGTCAAAACCTACTTGTTCCTTTAAGGCTAACTAACTTACAGGTTTTTAGCTTTCCTGGCAATTTAAACAAGATGATGTGTCTACATCTTCAAAACTGTCTTTGAAATAAGCTTCTTATAGATTCCTTATTCTGCTTTGAGTGAATTAATTGAATATTCTTTTTATATATGCATGGATAGCCACTATACTATGAATTTCTTAAAATAAGTCCACACTTGCCTTGGTTTCACTTTACATAATTCCATTCACATAGAATGTATTCAATAAATATTTTTATTTAGAATCTATATATCTTCACGTAGACATTTCAGTCAACCTTTTGTGTCAGAGGTCCTCAAGAACATGCCCAGGTTTGGTGATTTACTGGAAGGATTCAGAGGACTTAGCATATAGTGTATTCACAGCTAATATTATAGCAAGAATTCTTCCAGTAAATCATCAAACCTGGGCATGACATATCAGATAAAGGGCTAGTATCCAAAATGTATAAAGAACTTACCCAACTCAACACCCAAAGAACAAATAATCCAATCAAGAAATGGGCAGAAGACATGAACAGACATTTTTCTAAAGAAGACATCCAAATGGCCAACAGATGCATGAAAAAGTGCTCAACATCGCTCGGCATCAGGGAAATCCAAATCAAAACCTCATTGAGATACCACCTCACACCAGTCAGAATGGCTAAAATTAACAAGTCAGAAACTACAGATGTTGGCAGGGATGTGGAGAAAGGGGAACCCTCCTACACTGTTGGTGGGAATGCAAGCTGGTGCAGCCACTCCGGAAAATAGTATGGAGGTTCCTCAAAAAGTTGAAAATAGAGCTACCATGTGATCCAGCAATTGCACTACTGGGTATTTACCCCAAAGATACAAATGTAGGGATCCAAAGGGGTACATGCACCCCGATGTTTATAGCAGCAATGTCCACAGTAGCCAAACTATGTAAAGAGCCAAGATGTCCATCAATAGATGAATGGATAAAGAAGATGTGGTGTGTATACACACACACACACACACACACACACACACACACACACACACACACACAATGGAATATTATGCAGCCGTCAAAAGGAATGAAATCCGGCCATTTGCAGTGACGTGGGTGGAACTGGAGGGTATTATGCTGAGCGAAATAAGTCAGAGAAAAGACATGTATCATATGATCTCACTGATATCAGGAATTCTTACTCTCAGGAAACAAACTGTGGATTGCTGGAGTGGTGGAGGTTGGGGTGACTGGGTGATAGACATTAGGGAGGGTATGTGCTAGTATGTGCTATGGTGAGCGCTGTGAATTGTGTAAGACTGTTGAATCACAGACCTGTACCTCTGAAATAAATAATACATTATATGTTAAAAAAAAAAAAAGAAGATAGTAGGAAGGGAAAAATGAAGGGGGGGGGAAATTGGAGGGGGAGACAAACCATGAGAAACTATGGACTCTGAGAAACAAACTGGGGGTTCTAGTGGGGGGGATGGGTTAGCCTGGTGATGGGTATTAAAGAGGGCACATATTGAATAGAGCACTGGGTGTTATACGCAAACAATGACTCATGGAACACTACATCAAAAACTAATGATGTAATGTATGGTGATTAACATAAAATAAAAAAAGAATAGTAAAAAAAGTTGAAAAGATTTTTTTGAGACAACATAAAGAAAAACAAAACAAAAAGGATACAAAGCAAAATCAGCAACTAATAAGGCACATAAGGTAAAATCTGCAGGGAACCAGCTTCTAAGAGTCTCTCTCAGTGAAGTCACAACAGTGAGTTAATCCCTCCTGCAATGAGTTTGACAACATGTGTGAAGTGTTGTCTACCAGGGAAGCTCATTAGAAACTCAGTGCCCTGGGTTTTTAATTGGAGAATGGTCACATGGTACCTTCCTCCTAGCAGTATCAAAATTTCAGACTCCCTGATGGAAAGTAGGTGTGCAGCAGGAACAATGTTGTTTGTACAGATTAGGTATAATAAGCCACTCTTGTCATTTATGGACACTTTATATCAATATAGGGAACTGTTTTAGACTTAAGTTCCCACACTCTAACCAAGGGCAGCCCTTGCAAGCAGTCCTTTCTAAAGATAGCAGGCTCAGGCCTGCTTGTTAACTCTTTCCTGCATACCTTCTAAATTGGTTGGACAGAAGGTTATATGTGCCTTTAAAGGAAAAGGAATTTGGCAGTAGACTTACACAACTGAGCTCCCCCCAAAAAGCTTCCCTTTTTTGGGGGGGGATAATTTCAGGGACTTTGAACTGGTGAGATAATCAGACCCCAGTCTGCAGTAGTGACCTCATTATCACTCTATTTTCCAGTCTTTCAAGCACATATCTGTATCATTAAGGGGAGCATGTTTATTCTTGTAAATATAAATAAAGATTAAGATATGTAGTATTCATTTCAAATACTTTGGATAGCTTTCTCTGTTTTAGGTACAGGGAAGAGTGAACAAGGTAAGTTACTATAAAACAAGTATATAAATATAAAACAAGCCAATAAAAAGTGATTTTTCTCCAATATTTTGCCATTTTATTTCTTCCCTTCTAATTTTTTTAAATCTTTTTAGTGTTATGTTAATCACCATACAGTACATCATTAGTTCTTGATGTAGTGTTCCATGATTCATTGTTTGCGTATAACACCCAGTGCTCCATTCAGTACGTGCCCTCCTTAATACCCATCACCAGGCTAACCCATCCCCCCACCCCCTCCCCTCTAGAACCCTCAGTTTGTTTCTCAGAGTCCATCGTCTCTCATGGTTTGTCTCCCCCTCCGATTTCCCCCCCTCATTCTTCCCTATTCCCTTCTAATTTTTAAAGCTCATCTCTGCTTTTCAATATTTAATGTCCCTGAGCCCAAATAAAAATGAAAAATGAAAAGAAAGTGAGTGTGGGATAAGGTGAGGGCCTGGAGAGAAGGAAATAGGATTTGAGTAAGACTAGATGTATTCTGCTAGACAGAATCAAGCTGAGAATGTCTGGGGGTCTGTCACAGCCTGACAGAATATCCGCTAGCTTGATAAAAATCATTTCAAAGTATCCAAAAGAAAAGCATTCAACAAATATTTAAAGGCATTTGTATCTAAAGCAAGGAAATGCTGTAAACATAAATGAGAACGCATGAGAACACTGTAGGTAGCTAAAAGTTACTGCTAAGAAACATCTGTCCACAGATTCAGGTACAGCTGGAAAATATATTGGGTGGAATATGTCATAAGAGGTAATGCTTTATATGTTCACATTCTTTTTCCTTATACCCTAGCTGAAAGCCACCACATGTTTCAGAAGCAGAGATGCAGGCATTGTGTATGTGTTAAGATAAGGGTATGAGGAATGTTGAGATGGAACAAGGTTTTCAAAACCTTCCTGTGTATCAACTTCACCTCCATGTCAGTTTTTTGGGAGATGTTGCTTTTCCTCCTCTTTCAGTGGATTATTGATAAACTAAAATCAGATTTTGTTTCAGGGGCCAAAATGGATTTTACTATTCCTATTATTGGCTTGATAACTCTATGTGGCAAGAAAACATGAAACATGCATTACAGAGGAGTAGCGGAAGGATGTGTAATATTTAAGCATTCTTTCCTCCTGATACATAATTGTAAAAATGTATGAGCTTTGATTATTTGATTATTGGATTAACCTATAATGGAGGATGGGATAATACCATCACCCATAGTATTATGGTAGTGAGGCAGAGAAAAGCCAGGTTCTGATTGATCCTGAGAAGATCCCCTTATCTCAGTTTAATACACCAAGGAAAACTGCTCTTTGGTATTGCATCTGGCATCTTTTTCACTGGGCACTTAAAAGTTCTATCCAGTTGATTAAAAAGCTTTAAATAAAATCACCCTTCAGTTGAATACCTTTAAGACTAGAATTAAAGTATATTCTTGCATCATATTAATTCTATAGATGAAAAAATATAAGGACTAAGAAATTTGTGCATGCCAGTTTCTGGAATGCAGATTTATACTCTGCCTATATTAATGATTCAATAGTTTTAGAATATTCCACTGAAAATGTGTAATGTGTAATGTCTTTTAGTAGCCAAGTCTAAATTTTGTAAGTTAGTATTTTACATGTTGAATAAATGAATTGTAGGCCATCTTACCACTAATTAGTCTTATATTCATTATTTCTACATGGAAATATATGCGATGAATAAAATGCTTGGTGTGGGCTTTATCATTCCTTCATCTTCCACTCTGGGGAGGAAGCAGATAAAGGTTAAACTGCCTGAGCTCCATTTAGAACCCAAGTTACTATGGCTTGTCCAGACCCTAATTCTTATCTTTAGAAAGAGTGTCTGTGTCTTCAGAAAGAGAAATCAGGAGAGGAAGTCATTTAAAAATTTTCCTTCCTGTAATTGTATTTGCCAAAACACTAACAGTGAATTACTCAGTAGGAGATGGACTGGTTGGATATTATTATATATTTGTGTTTTCTATATTTCTCAACTTTTTTCCTGTTCCCAGATTTTTTTTTATAATCTGGAAAAAATGTGTTATCATATCATTATCTGAATTCAATTATATAGAATAAAACCAGATGACATAGCTTAAATTCTTATAAATTCACAATCATAGTAAGTCATACACTGGCTAGTAATGGTTTTATTT